TTGCACCTACAGGTATCCAATTTTATATAAAAAAAATGTTTATTATATTTTACGAGTACGTTTGATACAGTGCGATCAAAAAGCAAGCCTAGAAATTTAAAACGTGTGTCTGCGGAAGATAAAATGTCACAATGGTAAATAAGAAATGTCAAAATAATTTTTTGTAAACTGTAACAACAAATCGTATGAATAAACTGCAACTACATCTCATTTTAGGGTGTTTTAAGACGTTTCATACAGTAATTCAATTTGTTTAGATCAATATTTATTTTTCCAAATTTCACAATAACCTCATATTAAAAAAATAATCAATAAAGAAAAAATATACCTATTATCAATATTATTAGCTACATATAAAAAGGAAGTAAAGTAAAAAAGTAAATTAGAATCATAAAGGTCCGTAATAAAAAATTTTGGAAAACACTTTTTATGTACTAAACTGCTTCCTAAGAATGCTACGGCATCATTTGCGTCAGTTGCTTGGAATTTAAAAAAAATGTTCACCTTTTTCAGAAAGCCCTAGCACCCTTTCTTAACGAGCATTTCTGGACCTATTATAAGTCCATTGAATTTTTTTTTATTCACAATCATCAATGTACAGTTGGAGACAAAATACTTTGGTCGTCAATGTCACTTGAGTGACATTAAATTGTAAAGCATGCTTTAGGACTGTTATAACCTTATTTTTAGCTACTGTCAATCATAGTTGACAAGTTGTATGGACATATTTTTGATAGGAAAATATAATAGCTGTCATTAATTTGAAACTGTCATTCATTTAAACGTTAAAGCTTGAATTACATTAAAAGTGTCAGAAAAGTGGCGACCAAAGTATTTTGTCTCCAACTGTAATATGTCGCTTACTAACTTTTTAAAGGTTGGGAAACACGTCATTATATCTTATGAGGAGTAAAAAAAACATCTGAGCAAAACTTGCTTACTTATTAAGAAGAAAATGTTGTTGATGGACTAGTAGAAAGCAAAAAACCAAAGAGCTAAATCCGGAGTATAAACAATTTTTTCGGCTTCCGTCTAAAATTAGTGATTTTTCAATCGTCCAAATCGTCTTGAAAACAACCAATTGCGTGTCTAGGCAGTAAAATAAAAACATTACTTCTCTAGGGCGGTTTTATGCAGGATAGCCAACGTTAAAATTACAAAAATACCGGGAATTTTTTCTTTCGAATTGTCAAGTTACACATAATATTTTGCTAAATCAGTATTCAGTTGCTTCTTTCTGTATAGCAGTTTTTCTTACTTCTGAGGGAGCGCACTACTCCATTTCAACAATTTTAATAACAGATTCACACATTATTCCAATATTTTTTTTTGACATTTCTGAAATGTCAAAAATCAAACGCAATTTAGATGGCCTACCACGTTTGAACCTTAACTTTGTTAGAATTTTATTTTACTCAAATATTTGACTGAAAATAATGTGATTGTGAAAAAAATAGCATACAAACCTGGGTGCTAATGGTATTACCACTTGTGCTTTCCCTGGCGCGTCTCGATCGCATACATAAGCACTCGGGGTAATGCCATATTTACCACCTCGAATCCTAATTCTTTGACCATAAAATCAACATATCTACTTTAAAATGTCACCAAAAATCTAACCAGATGTCAATTTAACATTTTTGAATTACCATAAAACATAGCTAATATGTCCCCGGATTGAGTTTACAAGAGGAAAAAAAATCTTTGATTTTAGGCTATCAAAACTGCAAAGGAAAAACATTTTTTGCTTTACCTGAAACAAGCAAATTTGTAATTTAAATTTTATTATTCTAATTCAGTAGAAAGAAAAGTTCATTTTTCGCTTGATTTTGGACCTTTGAATAATTTTTCTCTGCTTTTTAAGTCCTATTACATTGGCGGTTTAATTATTTTGACAATGATGTCACTTTTTTTCTCTTGTAAACTCATTCCGGGGACATACTGTACATGTACTCGTGTGGATTTTTATATTTAGAGTAAAATTTTAAACTCTTTCTGCGGTTTATCTCTCATAGCAAAACGTTAATCTTAATGTTTTAAGTTACTGTAATAATAAGAAACCACTTGAAAAACGCATGACTTAAGATAAAATTATAAGTATTTTTCGCAAAAACTTTACAATTTATGTTTGAAAAAAAGTGCTCTAAATACAGAGAAATGAAATTAAAAAATACAAATGACAATAAATCCAGTACATATTGAAAAATAATTAGAGATAAACAAACAACATTTATCAATATTCTCAAAGTTAGTGAATTAAATTCACGAATAATGTACTACATGGCTAGATACAGATTTGTGTCAACAATATAGAAAACAATTTCAAGAAAAAAATAACAACTAGAAACTATTAGTGGTCTCAATCGCACAATATGGAAGAGATAGACTTTTATATATTAACATATATAATTTTTTTTTATTAAAAAGAAAGTGTCTTTGATTCTATTTCCTTCATAAGTTGTCTTATTAAAATTCATGTTATAAGAAAGAACATTCGTGGTTTGAACTAAAATATAGATCATAATTTTACAGCAGGTTTTTCAAAATGTGGTTCATTTCTTCCGGACTTACCCTAGGTAAGTGGAAATTAAAACAAGTTTTCAATCAAAAATTCTATTTAAGTACTTACTTATTTTTCGCATTCATATTACTATTTTATTGCTTAATATTTTAGTTCGAACATTTTTTTAAATATCGAGATCAGACGCTTTGTATCCAGTTTAACTGCAAACTCGTCTCCCATATAAAACTGTTTTTATTTCTTTAAATATCTTGTTGCGTTTGGTGGTCGACCATTTTAAACGTTGCTATTGCAATAAATTTTATCTAAGACGATGATTGGCTGTTGTCAAGATAAATAAAATATGGCTTAAATAAAATAATCTTGAATAATCGGCAAAATGACAAATCAAGTGAACAAATAAATGATATTTGTCAATCATTATCATTTACAATTTATTTAAAGCATTAATAAGAAAATGTTTGTGGATATTCTTAAGATAGTAAAACCTTTCTTTCGTGTTCCTGGCACATATCTCGTCCGTTGAAGACTCTCCGGGAGTTTCAAGAGCGTAACTTCCACGACACCCTTGGGATATCTCAACTTGTGCCCTAACAGACAACTCGACAACGTTTCTTTTACATTTAGATCTAACTTTACTAGATAT